AAAATGATAAATTGATTCCTAAAAATGTGAATAAAAAAATTTATAACAGGAAACTAAGTGGAATTGTTCATTTTTATCATATTTTTATGAGTACTCATGAATCCGGTCAACTTCGGAATGCTATAAAACCGAAATAAATTCATGAAATAAAACACATTTGCAGTAAAAATTATTCGTTGAAAACCCTCTATAATAGTGCTCTCATGTCTTTTATTGCAAAATGACCAGAAAAAATGTATAAGGCTCAAACAAAAGTTTGTTCAAAAACTTCCAGACTCTACCTCATAGGTGATTATGAAAAAGATCAATAATAAACTAATGATACCATAGGAATCACGATGATCACTACACTCCCTTTGAGAGGAGATATTAAAGAGAGAGAGAGAGAGAGAGAGAGAGAGAGAGAGAGAGAGAGAGAGAGAGAGAGAGAGAGGAAGAGCGAGAAAGAGAGAGAGGGAGAGAGAGAGTCCATAGGAAGGTTAACAAAATAATAAATGATATGAAGAAAAAATATATAATAAAAAAACTAAGCTTAAGGTCGATTTAATGTAATTTTATTTTAAAATAACCAGAAAAAAGTTATAAGGTCCAAAAGATTTATTCAAATGTTTTAGTTATTTTTGTTTGTAACTTTTTTTTTTCAATTTTCGATTAAAAGTTATATAAATAAATACAATTTAATTTGCTATAAATAATGTTTTATAAAATTTTCACTCTCCTTTACACTCCTTATTTCAAGATGGCGAGTATTCAAGGACCCAATCAACATTGGAGCGCTGCAAAAACTAGAAAATGAATGAAATTAAACAAATTTGTAGTGAAAATTACTCTATGATATTGCTCTGATATCATTTTATTTATTAACGGAATCCATTTACAAAAGTTTTCACACAGCTACACAACCATCCATTTTTTTAAAATTTATTGTTTTTTTTTAATTATTGTTTTATTGTAAAATCGCTAGAAAAAGTTATAAGCAAAAAGCACAATCGAAAAATTTTTCAAAATTTTTTAGTTATTTTGGTTTATAACTTTGTTATGTTTTATTTTCCGATAAAAAGTAATACAGATAAAGTTGAAGAAAATTTAATTTGGTAAAAATAATGATTTATAAAATTTTCTGTAAAGTTGCTAATTTACGAGATACAGAGAAAAACCCTTTGCCTCTCTTTTTCCAAGATAACGGCCTGGGAACAAGGGTTGCGACTTCACAAACTTGAATTGAAGTTTATACTGACCACCCCCACATATCAAAAAAATTAAATTGCGTCCTTTCAAAAATCTAATCTCAATGTAACTTTTCAATTGAATAAAAAATAAGTAGCTTATTCTATACGAGTATATAAATAGAAATACGTGTTCTTTTATTAAAAATTTCAGTGTCGAAGTAATTTCTGTGAAACAAAATATCCTCGTTTATTTTACTAAATATATACACTGTATACCAATACATTTTCCAACACATAAAAATTAACGATAACATCACCATATGAACGTAAACAATCTTACTTTGTAATTTGAGCCAGATAAAATGATTCAATAGTTGAACAACACTGTTGCCAGCTAAGTCGAGTCTGTAATATGGCAATATGGTTTAACACATAAGTGATATACACATTCAGTATACTCATAAAAGCGCTCTCTACGGCAAATGGCTGAATTAAAGGCGACTTTACGGACTCATTTTGTTTTATAATTTGCAGCTATTCTATAATACCCACAATTTTTGTAATACATTTGTGCAGTAGGTAGAGGTCTCTAGTTTCGCATTCAATAAAATTTTGGTAGAAAATAACAATCAGTTAAAAGAAATACATGAAAAACTTTACGGACTCTGTATATTGAGTCCATAAATCTCTCGAGTCCGTTGTGTATGGTAAAAACCTTAATGCAGAGTCTGCAATGTTAGGAATATATATATATATATATATATATATATATATATATATATATATATATGTATATATATATATATAATGAACTAGAAGTATTTGCTGACCACGTAAGGAAGTAAACTTTAAATATTGGGTATGCAGCAATAAAAATGAAAAGTGTACTCTTTTAAATTTTTATTCCAAGCTTTCGGACATTGGTTATGTCCTTCATCAGGGAGCTACAAATGTGATGAATAATTTTTACAAATTTGTATAATTAATTAAAAATTCGATACTTACAAACTTAATGAGGTTGTATCATAAATGATTTTATAAAAAATGTTGATAAAACTTATCACAGTCTGTCATATATGTTGAGCTAAAACCTATTCCTATATTTAAAATTTTAAAAAATTACTTTACATTCACACAAACTTAATTATTATTCACAATTCTATGACACTGATATTGACATTGACGAGTGAAAATCCCACATCCCTAATATCAAGCAACTGCTAGTACAACAAATTATAGACCTATTATTAGGTATATCGTGGAAATATAAATTATTCTACATTTGTTAATATCATTAGGAAGTGAAACTTCAACCTGTCAATGTTTTAAAACAAAGCCTATTAAATTAACATAAATAAATAAGGTCATAATTCTAAAAACGTTCAAACTTATTGTGATTTTGTTTTGTATGACCTTAGTATCTGTGTGTAAACATTTATTTATAATGAATTTATTTATTATTATTATGAATTTATTTTTTTTTACAAAGTTAGTTTGTTTAAAATTTAATAATTTTTGTTTACACACAGATACTGGGGTCATACAAAACAAAATCACAATAAATTGTAACGTTTTTAGAATTATGACCTTATTTATTTATGTTAATTTAATAGGCTTTGTTTTAAAACATTGACAGGTTGAAGTTTCACTTCCTAATGATATTAACAAATATAGAATAATTTATATTTCCACGATATACCTAATATTAGGCCTATAATTTGTTGTACTAGCAGTTGCTTGATATTAGGGATGTGGGATTTTCACTCGTCAATGTCAATATCAATGTCATAGATTTGTGAATAATAATTAAGTTTGTGTGAATGTAAAGTAATTTTTAAAAATTTTAAATATAGGAATAGGTTTTAGCTCAACATATATGACAGACTGTGATAAGTTTTATCAACATTTTTTATAAAATCATTTATGATACAACCTCATTAAGTTTGTAAGTATCGAATTTTTAATTAATTATACAAATTTGTAAAAATTATTCATTACATTTGTAGCTCCCTGATGAAGGACATAACCAATGTCCGAAAGCTTGAAATAAAAATTTAAAAGAGTAGGTACACTTTTCATTTTTATTGCTGCATACCCAATATTTAAAGTGTACTATATATATATATATATATATATATAATATATATATATATATATATATATATATATATATATATATAATATATATATATATATATATATATATATATATATATATATATATATTTCTGTTTGACAGTTAATAATAAACTTAATATTTTAAAAAATCTAATATTGCATTGAAAATGGTGGCTGTATCTTTTAAATGAATAATTTTTGAAAAAGTTTTAAAATAGGTATATTACTATATGGCCGTTTCGTTTGTAATTTAATTTTATTCTATACAAAAGTTGGTGGAGGTAGAAAGTTTGAAGACTGCCTAAAATCTAGAAAAATCGGGAAAATTTTGTTTGCTACTTCAGTTTTATTGGTTGGTAATGTCATGCTAATACATAATATAAATTTAAAAAAAATTAACCTTTTTGAAGCAATATTAAAAAATTCGGTTTAATTTTGTAAATTTAACACCCTGTAACGTTTTCTGGGTTCACCTTTTGTAGATAAGTAAGTTAGACCAGCACGACTTATTTTTATTCCTAAGGATCGTGGTATAATTTATATATAGAAAAAAACGGGTGTGACACTCCATTGGGACTGCCGGTAGAAGTTATACTTCTATACACGCGTTCGCCGTTAACAATTTATATGGGAGTCAATCTGCACAATCATTACATATGCAATGCTATAGGTAAGAGAGAGCAGAAAGAGAAAAAGAATTAGTTATATAGGTATATGGTGCATCGTTTGCTGTATATAAACATTTTACCTGTAATAGGAGTATAGTAAATGAATAATTGTATCAATATTTTAATGAAAATATATATTTTTATTTTTATATATGTATAAAAGGAGTTGAAGGCAAACATTTTTTTTACACATACTCTACAGTAAAATTCATTGTTTATTTTGTTATTAATATAAAAATTATAATACAATAAATACACTGCAACATAATTCAATATAATAATACAATATAAATTAAAATGTAATATTCATAAGTATTTAAAACTGCCAATATACATAACTTACTTAACGAACATAAAAATAAAAAACTTAGCATTTTTGCGTATATTACATATATTTAATAAGATTAACGTCAGGTTTTTAAATATTTCAAAAATAAAAAAGGAAATTCATAGTTAGGATTCGAACTCACAACCACCAGCGTATGAATCAAACACGTAAAGGATTTGCCAATTAGACATGACACTAACGGATTTCAAAATTGACAGTTCTCGGTCAAACAGTGATTACTTTGAAATAATGTTTATTAAATAATACAAAACATATCACATAAATAATATATATTAATATATATATATATATATATATATATATATATATATATATATATATATATATATATATATATATATATATGTATATATATATATATATATATTATATATATATATATATATATATATATATATATATATATATAATATTAAATATATATACAAAAGGAGCATTGCAAAAAGGAGCAGAGGGAGAGAGAAAAAATATATCTTCTGTCTCTCTCTTACTCATTATCTTATATATGTAATGGTTTCACAGATTCACTCTCATGCAAATTTCCAACGTCGACCGTGCGTATAGAAGTATAATTTCAAAAATATACAGAGAGGAAACAAGGAAGTTAATTCATTGCAATATTCTATATAAAATAGATAAATAAATAAATAAATAGATAAATATAAAAATAGCATAACGTTTATTTAAAATGGTTACCTGCACATATGTGTTTTTAATGCCCACTGCGGTACATTCAACTGGTCAGTATTTTCTAAATGTTGATTATGAAGATCTGTTGGTGTTGGTCCAGTATATAACACAAGCTCGATAGTTTCACCTAATAAACTTTTTAATATAATTAGATTAGAAGTAAGAATAGAGACTTCAAGCGGTCCGTCATGGTTTATTGTTAATCCATGAAATTGTCCTCTGTAGTAGGCCCAAATAACTGGTAAATTACTATGATCGTTCTTGTTCTTGTAAAACACCTTTGATATGGTGGAATTTTGATGTCTTCGAATCAACGTCTTACCTAGACCAAATAAGGAATGATCGGTTAGATGCACAGTCCACTCCCAGTAGTTTTCAGAAGCAATCAACGGTCCTTTTGCGGTCGAAAAAATTCTGTCTCCATTTGGTCTGAAAATCTCGACCATTAGCTTTTCTTCAGCTTGTTTTACTACATATTCTCGAAATTGTGCTTTATTTTCTGCAATATTCTTACTCGGTTTGTGTAAAATTATGCTAACTTTGTTGCTTGATATTTCGTTAACGGAAATTTGCATTTCTTTTACAGTTTTTGTATTAAATGGTGATAAAGAACGAGAAGCCCTATAACTGGAACCTTCTAAATTATATGAGTATCTTGAGGGTAAATAATGGTAACATGAATGTGTAGGATTGTCATAACAACACGCTAATGTAACACATTCATCTTCACTAATGTTCACTTTTCCACAGGGGACTCTGAAAGTGGTATTAACGAAACATGTAAATGTTTCTACTTCGGGGTATGTACCTAAGTTAACCACCAAATAATAAGTTAACACAGGGACTATTAGAGCAAATGCAAAAGTAAAAAACCATCCCACTATAGTTGTTTTGCATAAAATAGTCCACACAGTCCATTTCACTGAAGAAGTAGTATTTTCATCTTCGTCCGCACGGAGTTCATTCTGTTGCTGTATAAACGTTGTCATATTTAACTTAAAAAATATTTAAGATTCTTAAAGAGATTTCACATAATTATTAACTTGTCACAACACTACTAATTCTCTCCGTTGTTTTTGAGGAAACAATCAATCCTTGTAATCTTGGATAAGATAAATTAATGATAAATTATCGTTTTCAAAGTACCTTACTTAGATTAGATTATAACTGATTTTTTTTAAATGTATTGAATTCAAAGAATGATATGATGACGCAAAATTTCTAGTTAAATATTTTGAATCATATAAAAGTCACCTTAAATATTAAAGAATCTACACGAAGATATGGAAAATGGAAGTTATGGAAGGATTCAAAAAATTGAGAAATTACTTTTTTTTATTTCAAATTACATGTCTCGGCTGCTGCGGCCATTGACACGAGGAACTGTATTACAGAATAACAATAAATTAAGTTACATTGATTCAATAAACTTCAATACAGGTGATATAAAAAAAATAAAAAAACTAGCGGATGGTTACAAAATTGAAATATAGATAGATGATACAATTACAACAGGTGATATAATTTACAGTTTTTAAGGAACTCTATCACATTAGACATATTGTTTTTAGATTGTAAAATATCACATAAACTTTCGTGGATACCATGTTTTATCCGTGCTGCTGCGTACTGGTTACATTCCACAAGTATATGGTGTACACTTGGACGGGAGTTGCAATATTGGCAGTTTGGAGGTTCTTTGGGAACCATCCGTGGGTTAGCCGGGTGTGCCCAATTCTGGGCCATCTAATGATGCTCTTCGGTTTTCTCTCCGTTGTAACAATGCTAGGTCCTAAAATGTTTGGCTGGATGGACTTTAGTTGAGTAGTGCACATGTTCCATTGGTTTTGCCACATTGAGGTAGATAACTTTTTAATTTCAATTATTATGTCTTGAAACATTTGGACTTTTTCATCTGTAAGGTCAGAGTGACGTGCTTCATTTGCTGCGTGGTCAACATTCTCATTTCCTTTAATACCAAATGTGAGGGATTTCATATCATCATAACCAAAGTGTTTGATTTAGCAAGTGTTCATCTTTCGTGGATCTCATTAACTAAAGGATTTGATGTATAGATTTTTCTAATCGAATTTATGGGTGATAATGAATCTGTGCAGATTGCCAAGTTTTTGGTACCCGGCATTGGAACCTATAGAGCTTTAAGTATAGCGTATGTTATTTGTGGAAGTAACAGCACATCCGACACTTTCTTCGTCTTTAGATGCATCTGTGAATATTATGTTATCAAACTTGTATCTATTAATTATGTCGTTAAAAGTTTATTACATGAGTATCGTGAAGGTTTCCATTTTCTTATATCTGCACAAATTTACGTTAAAGTCAGGTAATATTTTTAGCCAAGTTGGAGTATTAGGCTGAATAATGGGGGTGGTGAGATTCAGGTTAATATTTTCCAAGAGTGGCAATAGAAACTGTAGTAATGAATTAGCAGTAGCTTTACTGTGTGCTCCTGTTAATTGAAAATTTTTAATAAGTTGGAAAGATACATTATTTGGGTTTGCAGAAACCTTAGCAAAATAGGAGTTTAATAGACGTTGTCTTCTATTATTTAGAGGGGGTTAACACGATTCAACATATATATGCTTTCTGTAGGGCTAGATTTGAAGGCTTCAAGACATATTCTTAATAAAGTATTTTGAATTGTATCTAGTGATTTTAAACAAGTTTTAGGGGCAGACATATATAACATAGATCCGTAGTCTAACTTAGATCTTATTATGGCTCTGTATAAACTTAATAGGACTTCTTCTTCTTCTTCGGCTCCCCATTGTCGATTGGCTGATTTTAAGAGAATTATACTTTTTTTAAGCACTGGCTTTAGTTTTTTCTATATGTCTCTTCCATGTTAATTTTTTGTGAAAATTACCCCTAAAAATTTGTAATTTTCAACTACTTGTAGTGGATGCTCTTTTAATTTTATGAGTGGAAGAGTTTGTTTATATTTTTTGCTAAAGTTAATCACTTTAGACTTTGTAGGCGAGAAGCTAAAACCAATTTTGCTAGACCAGTGAGAGATGTTATTAATAGTATTTTGCAAAAGAGTACTAGTGGAGCTTGTTACTTTACCCGAACAGTAAATAACTAATTACTATTTATAACTGGGAATAAGCCATAATTAAAGATAAAAATACGTTTATTGACGTTTCAATTTCCAATTCGGAAATCGTTCTCAAAATACAAACAGTAAATTGAATTTACTGTTTGTATTTTGAGAACGATTTCCGAATTGGAAATTGAAACGTCAATAAACGTATTTTTATCTTTAATTGTGGCTTATTCATAGTTATAAATAGTAATTAATTTACAATGCCACAAGAAAATAGCTTCAGAACAATAGTAAATAACTAGATTATCCGCATAGATATTATGTTTGACAGGGGATTGTACTAAGGAACTAAGGTCGTTAAGAAGCAGTAAAAATAAGTGTGCTGAGGACTGATCCTTGAGGTACTCCTGTCTCTAGGGTATATGAGGGAGACATTTTACCATTGCAGAGACTTTGGAACTTCTGTTAGTTAAAAAATTCTCAACAAATAGATATATGTTTCCAGATAAATTAGACTCTTTAAGTTTTTCTAGAATTCCCGGCCTTGATGCTATGTCGAAAGCACTTTCTATATCGAGTGAGACAGTTATAAGGTTGTTTCTATTAGAGAATGATTTTATGATATCGGATTGAAGAGTGATAAGATTATCCATCGTGCAACGATTTGAACGAAATTTTGATTGAGCGTTATTGATAATATTATGTTTTTCAAGATACCAAAGTAAGCGTTTGTTGAAAAATTTTTCCAGTAGTTTGCGAAGTGTGCGCGTTAATGAAATGGGTCTAAATGACATAGTTGTATTGGCAGAAGTATCATTTTTCTTAAGAGGAATTAAACCAATATAAGGTTGAATGTTCGAATAATTAAACTTTGACGGTATACAAGGCAACTATCGAACACGGTGATTAATTTAATCTTGCCCAAGTACTTTCGATCAATAGATCATCTTCAGGGGCATCTGAAATAAGCCAAGAAACGTTTTTTATAAAAAAGGAAAATTAATTCACTTGGATAAAAAACTCCAAGTTTATGATTGAAAAAATTTTATATGTGATAAACGTTTATAGACTTACTTCATCAGTTGTGGCCTATCCGACATGAGTAGAATGTCATAAATGTAAATTTGGACATAACAATACAAAATACAATACACAAAGACAAACAAATACTTTAAAATTTTTAAAAAGGAGAAACTACATGTTGTATAGAAGCCGGAGACAGAATGGGCTCCCGGTCTGACGGAAATATTGAGATGACATGTGACAAATGACAGCTTGTGAAGGGCAGTTATGTGATCTGCACCTTTCAAAATTCTATGAAACTAAGTATTGACCAAAGGTCCAACTGACACCACTATAGGAAATCAACTGATGAAATATAAAATTATATAGTATATATTTTTTTTTATGTAGATTGAATAATCCAAATCTCACACTCAAACCTGTCTATAATAATTAGGATGTTAGTTTGAGAGCAATTGAAGTTGACATAAAGTATGAATGTAAGAAAAGACTAAACAATATAATAAACAGTGGATGGTTGACTACAATAAAATGGTCCACCAACCGCTATCAGTACTGTAAAAAATTAAAAATCTGAATATGCAGTTAAATTACTAAAAGTTAAAATCAAAATTGAAGACAAAATATATAAATGGGTTATAATCCAAGTAGTTCAGTTGAATCCACAGTCAATGGAAGAACTTTAAAATTAATATTGAAATGCTCAGTGCATGAAGTCTAAACAGTCGAGCTGGGTCCTCTACGAGGTGAAGCTGTAATAAAGTTTTTAAATATAGGATTAAATTTAGTACAATTTAAATTAATTTGAGTATTAAGACAGTGAGAGTTTTCATTTGTTTCCCTTGTAATCTTCAAATCATCCAATAAATCCAACTCAAGATAGTTTTTCTTTCTACTAATGTCATGTAAGATAGATGAACCAGAATTGATGTTAAAATTGTGGTTGCTGGATACTAAGTGTTGACCAAAACTTGAAGAATTTGGTCTTTTCAAATGTTCAGAGACTCTAGTGGATAACTTTCTGATGGTTCTACCTACATAAGAGGCATCACAATCATCACATTTTAATTTGTAAATACCACTTTTATCAAGTGTATTCATCCTATCTTTGGTATTGATTAAGAAGGAACCTAAAGTGTTATGTGATTTAAAGGAAATTTTGATGTTATCAATTGTAGAAGTAAAAAGTTTAGATATTTTATTGGAAATGCTACTAATATAAGTGAAGGAGAAATATCTGATGTTATCTGAAGCATTCGGTTGAAAAAACTGTGAAGAATATGCAAGCTTTTCTGCAATTTTTAGTTAAGCTCTATTTAGAAGTTTGTATATAATGTTGGGATCATAGCCATTATTGAAAGCAATCTGCTTAAGAGTATTAAGTTCTGTATTAAAATTATCATCAGAAAGAGGAAATTTAAGTAACCGATGAATGTAACTGTTTAAAGCAGCCATTTTATGTTGAGTTGGGTGATTAGACGTTCCATGTATAACGTGATCTGTTTGGGTGGGTTTTCTATAAATGTTGTACTCTAAAGAATCTTTATTACGGGAAATAGTCATATCCAAGAAGTTCAACTTATTTTCAGATTCTGGTTCCAGAGTAAAAGAGATGTTAGGATGGAGGTTATTGAGATCATCCAGAATCTGTAAAGCATCATCTTGGGTTTCCTGTATGAGAGCTATACAATCATCCACATATCTTGACCAAAAAACTATTTTGTTGTTGTTATTAACAAACTTCTGTTCTAAGCTATCTAAGAAAATATCAGCTAGAAAAGGTGATAATGGAGATCCCATTGCTAATCCTGTTGGTTTTTTATATATTTTTTGATTGAATTGGAAGAAGTCCTGATCCAGACAGAATTTAAGCATAGTTAATATAGCATCTTTATCCTTTGCAGATATGTTGCAATTGTCTAGAAGGTTGTGTACTAAAGGTAATGTTTCATCTCTTGGTACAGAAGTAAACAAATTGGAAACATCAAAAGAAACTAAATAAAAACCCTCTTCTATCCTAATGTTATTTAAACGTTCTATTAGATCTAAAGAATTTTTAATGGAGAACTTAGGTTTAAAATTAGTGATAGACTGGATTGTGTTGTAAATAAACTCTGATAAAATAGAAACTGGAGTGTTACAAAAACTCACTACAGGCCTTATGGGACAATTGTGTATGGATTTTAGGCAGTCCATACAACCTAGGTGTTATAGGATTAGATACAGTTAACTTTCTGTTGTTATATTTAGTAATAGTGTCACTAAACAATTTATCCATTGCTTTTGTTTTATTAATAAAGGTGTTGAGTGGATTTTTTTTCCAAAACTACAAAACTGTTATCTGAAAGAAAAGATTCTACTTTCTTAATGTATTGAATTTGTTCTAAGATTACAACACAATTACCCTTATCAGCCTTGCTGAGTACAAGAGAATTTCTATCAATTTTATGTTTAATTGATTTTAGTCCTCTGAAAAGTTAGTGTTACTTAAGTTTAAGACTCTAGGATGGAATTGGTGATCTGAAAACTTATGCATAGGTGTTGAGGTGCTTCTCTGTTATTTTTGCAAAATCAAACGGTTTAGTTTGTTGGTAAGACTTCTCTTCTTGGTAGATTTTAAGGGGGCGACCTCATCTTCTATGTTATTGGAGAAATCGTTGACAAGAAACCAAGGATTTTGTTGCAAAATTTGATCATAGGTAATTTTCAGATCGACATTAATATGATGGAGTTTGGTATAGTGCTTCTTAAGTTCTCTTTTCAGGATCTTTTTCTCCAAAATCTGTTTATCCTTATCAGGTACATTCTTTGTTGTTTTGACCTTAGCAAAAATAGGAGTGACTTAATGTAAAATGCACTGTCTAACGAACCAAATGTTTAAGAATATAATCATTCTCTTGCAGGATAGTTTTCTAGTCTCAACAAGACTGTAGTAAAGGAAGTATCAACCAAGACTGCCATAGTCAATAAATCAATATAAGGTTGAATGTTCGAATAATTAAACTTTGACGGTATACAAGGCAAGGCAGTTAAGAGGAATTGTTATAGCTTGTCGCCAAAATGATGGAAATTGGTTACCTAGCCATATGTTGTTGTAGAATTCTAGTAACTTTATTAGGGTATCTTCATGTAGATGTTTTAAGAATATCGATGGAATGTCATCCGACCCTGCAGCACTGTTCTTTAGGGAGTTAACAGCTTCGACTAATTCGTCGATTGTTAGTGGGAGATTTACAGGATGATCATTGGAATTTGAATTCTTGAAATGTGTACAATACATTTATTTGTTAGGTTTGTTGGTCCAGTACAATTGTTATCATGTTTAGTTTTATTTAAATAGTATTTGGCAAGTGTATTTACAACCTGCTGGTCATCAGTTATGACATTGTTATATTTTATAACGGCTGAAATTCTGTATGTTGTATATCTACCTTTCATCTGTTTTATTTTAGTCCATATTTAACTAGAAGGTATGTCGGAAGTTATGCTACTCATGTATTTGTTTAATGAGTTCTTTTTGCTTTCTTTAACAATTCGCTTAGATTTAGCTCTTAGTTTTATAACATTTATTAGGTCCGCTTGGTTTCTAGTTATACGATATCGGTTTAATGCTTTTTTACAATCTTTTACACCTAGTTTACACAATTCATTCCACCACGGATCATATTTTTGGAGGGATCAAAGTGGTATTTACCGATGCATTTTTCAGCGGAAGTTCTAACACAATTAATCAACATGTTAAGATCTTATCAGCAGAATTCATAAAGGAGATTTTATTTGTTTGTTCCTTGAAAATTAAGTTAAATAGATCCCAGTCAGCGTGAGCAATTTTCCACTTAATTTTGCTTTGTCTTTGTGTGTTATAGTTGTTAGAAATTAAAATGAAAAAATGGTTACTGTTATAGAGACTTTCCAGTGTTTTCCATGTAAGATGAGTAGATAATTCTGGATTACATATCCTTAAATCAATGGAAGAGAGAGTACCTGTTTGGATATGAAAGTATGTGCTGCTTCCAGTGTTTATAAAATTAAGGTTGGAATTGATTATGATATTTTTAATCATTTTGCCTCTACAGAAAGTATTACTGGAGCCCCACATAGTGCTATGTGCATTAAAATCTTCAACTAAGATAAATGGTTCAGAAAGTTGGTTAGTTAGGTTTCTAATTTCGAGAGCTGTTAGGGTGTAATATATACGTTGCAAATTACGATTTTATTTGGACACCAAATGCACAATAACAGTAACGGCAACGGCTTCTAGAGTTGTTGTTAAGTGGAATTCTTGATGGAATATATTTGAAGAAATAAATATAGAGCTTCCACCACTAGCTCGTGCGTGTGATGTATAAAGTGGTGCCAACGTAATTTTTAAGGTATGGATTATGGTTTTTAGAGAAATTGGTTTCTTGCAAACAAATGAAATCGGGTGAAGTATCAGCAACAAGCAGTTGGAGATTTTCTAGGTGAGGGTAAAAAACCCATCATAATTCCACTGGATTAAATTGAATGGGAAGAATATTAGAAGGGGGATTTTTCAGTGCTGCGACCTTTGAAATCGATTGGAAAGGCACTCATCGTCAGTTAGTTCGTTTGATGAAATTGAGTCCGATAAACTTGTGGCTTCAGAGGATTCTAGTTGTAGTTTTTTTTTTTAATTTTTTTATAGTATATATAGTGTGCAGGTTTAAAAGTAGACTTTTCACATCATCCGTAAGCTTTTTCGCTTCTAATAAGGATTATAATGTCCAAAACTATTTTCAAGGAAGAAAAAGAAATTGTCTATGGGTATTTTAAAGGTTTGTGGATTCTGTTTGTATGCTTCTTGGATTGTTCTCTTGGTGGTTTCGGTTAATACTAATTCTGTTGGAGTATCAGGTTTGTGCTTTTTTTTCTTAGCTTTGGGACCTTTTTTGGGGAAGCTGATATCTAAATTTTTTAGGAAAGAAAAACCTTCTTTCTAAGTAGCAAGAGGATTCTTCTAAACGGCGTCTCATTTTAAATAACTAAGGGATATTCTTGTGTAGTGTTGCCGAGGACTAATCTGAAAGTATTTTTTTGATTTCTTTTTCGTAGTTAGTCCTCCCAGTCCTCCCTAAATAAAAGAATCCTTATCCACGACTCAGCTTTCTAACCAAAATACGAGTAGCTGTTAGCAAACGTTTCAATTTATTTGCTTACTCTATCTCCAATCTAAGTTATTGTTAAGTCCCCCTTTTCAACCTTCCATAAGCAAATTATAATTGTTACAACAAAATAAAATGGACCTTGCTAATTGGCATATATGATATTGGTTAACAAACAAAAATGGAAAAATTGTATGCTCAGCAATCTACTATCAGTTCAGAAATAGCCAGAGTAACGACAAATAAAAAAAAATTCTAAAAATAGGAAGACCAAGGAGTACATTCAGAATGAGTCGGAGGCACTGAACGAAAATTGCGAGAAATTTTAGAACAATCACGGCCAATTACTAAATGGGGATGGAGGTAAAAAAAAGTGAATCACCCAGATTTAAAGAAATACAAATAAGAAAACAAAAAATTTACGAAATATTACAAGAAAACATACAAAATATATGAGAGGACGAAAAAATGCAGTCGGAACAGATGGAGAAATTAAATACATTAGAAATGGATGCAACTATAAATAAAGAACTAGAGGCTTTGGAGGATGGAGAAATATGTAGAATAACCGTCTTACGAAGACAAGTAAGGAAAATGTTGAAAATAAGTGAGCCGGAACTAACCGGCTGAAAACTATACAAAATAGAAAATACCACAAGGAGTAGAAATAGGGAAAGATGTATCCAATTATCGAGTACTCGGATGGCGTGCTCTCCAGCATCCATTATTAACATGAATACCAGACTTCATTGCATCCTAGATGAACTCTGCGACCGAATAAAGAACAGCGCTTGTCTTTTTATCAGCTACACGATGTAGCAAGCTCAGTGGAATACAATAGGCAATCTCACTTTATGGTATTTTTTTAATTCTAAAACCTAAACTAAAGAAGGATACCAAATAGGAGAAAAACAATTTAAAATAATCTACTATACGGACTAAGTCATACTACTCTCTTAGAGTAAAAATGATTTACAACGTATGCTGCACCAATTTAATATAAGCGGGAGAAAATTTAACATGTAAATTTCCTTAAAAAAGACATGGTTTTAACAGCAAATTTAGTAAGATGTAAATTGGAGCTGAAAAATCAGATAACAGAACAAGTGATGGAGTTTAAATATCTAGGCATCACATTATCTAGCTACGGAAAGTTCGAAACGGAAATGGAAGATAAAGTGAATAGAACAAACAGACCCTTAGGTTGCCCAAATGAAACAATGTAGATAAATAAAAATATCGGAAAGAGATAAAAGACAGAATTTACAAAACAGTCATTAAACCAATAATTACGTAGGCGGCAGAAACACGACCTGACAAATAGAGGACAAAATGGATTTAAAAACAGCAGAGATGAAAACATTTAGAAAAAGTGATAGTAAAACACTATAGAACAGAGCTATAAGTACAGATATACGACGTAGATACAAGGTGAAGAACATCAAGTACTGGGTAAGAAATAGAAAAGTAGAACGGAATGATAATATAAGCCGAATGACATAAAATAGAGTAGTAAAGATGGTAAGAGACGATTCCCCAATAGAAAGACGATCAGTAGAAAGACCACGTAAACAATGCAACGACATCTTACTGTAGTAATAACACTACGATCCATATATCCATCATATGTAATGGGTCCAGAACGGAGCGCACCATTGAAAGAGTCTGCTTCCTGAAACTCTCCCGAAATATTCCAGCTGAAATAGTGAAGAGACCCAGTCGTACGCAAATTAAAATTCAAGTTGATCGAATAAACATATAAAGGAAGGGACATAGTCATATCTTCATAGACGAAGAGATTTTAAGAGAAGAATTAAATACTACATAATGGTAGTCCATCACAGACACACATTGGCAGTCACTATTGGTTACTAGAGCTACTACTTCAATCATCATCATTCAGCCCCATTTTCACATCCATTGTTGGATATAGGCCTCCTCCAAACGTCTCCAGTTCTTTTTATCTCTAGCTGCTGCAATCCAGTTTGTTTCTATTCTCCTTAGGTCGTCGGTCCATCGGGTGAGTGGTCTGCCTCGATTTCGCTTGTCGGCTCTTGGTCTCCACTTCAATAATCTCTTCGTCCATCTTCCGTCTTCCATTCTAGCAACATGTCCAGCCCACCTTCACTTTTGTTTATTGAGTCGCAGTATAATATCGTCTACGCCAGTTTGTCGGCGTATCTCCTCATTTCTCCATTCGCCTTTGTGTTACCCTCAGTTTTTCGGCAGTAGCTTTCGGTAAAGTTAGGGTCTCTGCCCCGTAGGTCAAGACTGGTAAGATGCATTGGTTAAATGCCTTCCTTTTTAGGTGAATTGAGATATTTGTTTTAAAAATGTCTTTCATCCTTCCATATGCCGCCCATCCCAACGTGATTCGTCTATTTAGCTCGCAGGTTTGGTTGTCTCTGGTTATTCTAATTTCATGACCCAAGTATGTATATTTATCGATTAATTCTACCTTGTTGTTATTGATCTGTATCTGTTCGCTGGGAACCATATTGGTCATCATTTTGGTTTTCTCGAAATTTATCTCCAGCCCAGTTTCTTGTACTATGTCATTCAGTTCTTGGAGCATGTCTTTGATCTCTCCCACATTATCTGAGAGAAGCACGATATCGTCCGCAAAACTTAGATGGTTTAATCTTTCACCATCGATGGATATTTCTTTCTGTTGCCATGTTAGTCTTTTAAATGCATACTCAAGAATGGTAATGAACAGCTTTGGTGACATGGTATCACCTTGCCTGACTCCCCTTTTTATCTTTATTTTATTAGTTGCAGAATGTAGACTTATGGTTGTTGTGGCATTTTCGTATATATTACAATATCTGTGGTCGATCCTGCAATCTTGTAGTGCTCTTAAGATGGACGGTAGTTCCACTGTATCAAACGCCTTTTTAAAGTCTACAAATATCAATGCCAAGGGACGGTTATATTCGTTAGTTTTTTCTATCAGGGTTTTTAGGCACTGCAGGTGATCGTTTGTGCCGTAATTAGGGCGGAAACCGGCTTGTTCCCGAGGTTGGTAAAAATCCAGCTTTGTCTCTAATCTGTTCGTTATTATTCGGGTGTATAATTGATAAAGATGGTTAAGGAGACTGATTGGTCTGTATCTTTCCAGGTCTGCTATATCTCCCTTCTTGTGTAAGAGTACAGTTATTGAATTATTCCACTTTGTTGAGATATTTTGATTTCATAGGTATAGATTATAGAGCTTTTGAATTTTGGCTATCAGTACTGAGCCTCCTATCTTTATCGCTTCCGTGATGACACTGTACTCCTCCGGAGCATTGATATTTTTCATCTTTTTTAGAGTCTTGTAAATTTCGTCCAAGGAGATTTCTGGGATATCTTCGGAACCCTGATTTTGAACCTTCCTCTGTTGATATTCAACTATATCTAGAGTCGATTGGTTGCTATATAATGTCTCATAGAATGATTCCACAGTTTGTAGCAAATATTCTCTGTTTGATGTGAAGTTGCCATTTCTATCCTTGAGTTTAACTATTTGTTTATTTCCATTTGTGAGTTTGCGTCTTATTATTTTCATACTCTTCTTTTCCTCAATGGTTTTGATGATTTTCTCATCTTTGTATTTTTTTAGGTCTTTTCTGATTTCTCTTGATACTTCCTTGTTCATTCTATTTATATCGTCATTACTAGAGTTTTCGTCGCTTCTCAGTATTCTTCAATGTTCAGTTTAAACGAACATACTTTAAAAAAATTGTAAAACACAAATAAAAATTAACTTCCTATATCCTATTTCGTTCTCTGTTGTGATTGGTGTATTATTTTTTATCAACAAGCACTTCAATATAAAAATAAGCATAAAACAGTAGTTTTTTGCCAGGACAGTTTTGGTCCAAATTTCAAATCCATATTTGTTTTTTCTTTCACCAGGTTTAAATCGCAGTAGAATTCGTGGATTTCAATATTTTAACCATTGCATGTAATTCATTGATCAATAATTGCTTTTTTACATTGTATACAGATGACCTTTCTCGTTAGCATGTCAACTTTTGACATTTTAATTATTGCAATTTTTCTATCTATGTTAATATAAGTAAATCAATTCGATAATCACAGCTAACAGTATCTGCTTTATGAATATGGGTGAACAATACAAGCCATTTTTTAAATATTTCATTGGAGTAATTATTATTCTTACTGGGAGATATGCTTTTGCTGATAACATCAAATTGAAAGATGTCCTCAGAAACAACAATAGTAGATCCGGCAACAACAATTCGAGTAACAATAACTATAATAGTAATAATGATGACGATGATATTTTAAAATCAGAAGTTACAAAAGTTGTTGATCTATGTGGTTCTTCGAGAAATAACAGAAATCAAGATGATAACAATAACAGGTATGAATAAATAAATGAAAAAGGCGAAAGCCATTTTTTATATTTCTAAGCGTCATTATTTTTGCTCCTTGTTTTCCTCTCTTTCGACATTATGTTTATTGTTCATTTATTTTGATTCCTCTTCCTCTTTGTATTTTACGTAGTTCCCAGCGGTAAGTTTTGTTTGGTTGAGTTTTGTAATTTTTTAAGTTTCATTCTTCTATATGTTTAAATCAAGTGTTTTTAATAAACATCAATGGACCGATTTATGAACATTATTATCAATTAATGCTCTTAATGAGCATTTTTTTTCTATTCTAAATTATTACTAATGATTTAAGACTAGTATTCCTTCATCATTTACAGTAGCATCAAACACATTTACGGTAGTATAGTCCAAAGTATTACACTTTATAGTTCGGAAGTATGGGACGTCACCAAAGCTAATAGAAACAAACTTATGACGACATAAATGGATCATCTGAGACCAAGCTGCGGTAGATCAAAACTGGAGAGAGTTAGAAACAAGCAAATAAGAAACGAAATGAAAATGGAGCGAAATATAAATGATGACATAGAAAGAAAACAATTAATCTGGTTCGGATATGTTAAAAGAATGCCAGAGCACAGATGGCCTAGAAGAGTACTGGAATGGATCCCTCCTGAAAGAAGAAAGAGAGGACGACCACAGAGAAGTTGGCGCAACGATACTGATGAAGCAATGGCGGCAAGAGACTTAGAAGAGGCAACTGCATATGATAGAAAAAGATGGTAATTGGGGACGGAGAAGCGGCGACAGCCGTAATCAATCCGTTATTATAAAGGGTTTCCCAATAGGAACGTCCTGTTTTTGAAATGTCATAGCGGCCATTTTGAAAATGGTAGAACTGTCACTTGTTGACGTTTGTATTTAGTATACTCTAACAAATTACCATGGCTTGAACAACGTTTGGAAAATTCCGTTCCTAAAATTTTATGCTAATAATCGTTCTTTTGTGAATACCTATCGTGCATTACGACCAAATCATCGTCCTGATGTGCATGTAATTCGTCGAATCGTGGAAAAGTTTGAACGTGAATTTACTCTGCATGATACGAAACCACCAACTAGACGTCGAAATGCAAGAACTCAGGACAATATTGCTGCTGTAAGAGCCAGTGTAGCGGAGAATGTAAATGTGCCGTAAATCGTCGTTCTCAAGAATTTGGACTCACCAGAATGACAACTTAGCGAGTCCTGAGAAAAGATTTAGGTCTACACCCTTACAAGATTGTTCTGACTCAAGAACTGAAGCCACTTGACCATCGTAAGCATCGTATGTTCGCTGTTTGGGCTCTAGACAAACTCGAAAATGATGGCGATTTTTTCAAAAAAATAATCTTTTCTGATGAAGCTCATTTTTGGTTAAACGGCTTTGTGAATAACCAAAATTGTGGTTTTTGGAGTGAAAATAATCCACATGAGATTCTTGATAAGCTTTTGCATCCAGAAAAAGTCACTGTCTGGTACGGTTCCTGCAAACGTTCCTGCAAACGTAGTTGCGGTGGACATTTGAATGATGTGTTATTTGGAACATAATTGTTATAATTCTTTTTTTTATTTATTTACAGCAATTTTTACCGTTTTCGTTTAAAAAAAAACATCAGGAGCTATATATATATATATATATATATATATATATATATATATAATATATATATATATATATATATATATATATATATATATATATACTTAATGTAGATAAAATTAGTACCTACACAATAGGACACACATGAAGAATGTCCTTAAAATGTGAGAGATTGTATTGCATAGATTGCTGGTTAAAAAAATATGAGAGCTCTTACCTGTAATATAAGAATGTCTTAACACTAACGGTTCAAAAAGCTATCCAAAGGTACAAAACGATTTATTATAGAGAGCGAAAAACAAATAGCATAAATAAAATTAGTACAAATACATAAATATTAATTACCAGTTAAAAAGTCTTTCAAAAACGTCTATGTGCGGGTTATTGTCCATTCACGTCACTATCACGAAGATCCTGGATTAAGATATGTACCAGCCACGTGGGTCTAAGGCTTCCAAATGCAAAAAACTTCTAACAAGCGGGACAAATCGTTGACCGATTTGGAGAAACTAAACTACTATATACTATTTTTTTGGAGATTAAATCCTTGACGGATTCTTAATGATTTCTGTCAAGTGGAGATGTTGCACCGTGCTGGACTAAAATTCACTTTGAGAGTAGGCGGGGTGCCTGATTTTTCGGGGAGTCTTCTTTTAAGGTGCACAAAAAACTATATACTATAACTATTGACATAAATTTTTTCAGATCTTTGACAATGACATTTTTCAGAATTGTCATTTCAAATGTCTTGAAAAAGAATTAAATAAAATTCGAAAGCTTGACAGTAAGTCAAAGAGTTTTCTTTGTCTTGTGGGCCAAATAAACTGACTGCATCCTCAAAAATCATAATTTATATTTAAATCAACAGTCAAGAATACCACCATCTTATATATATATATATATATATATATATATATATATATATATATATATATATATATATATATATATTCCTTAATCATCATTTTCTGGCTTTTCAACCCTACGTGCCTCCTCAAGAATTGCTCTTCAGTCGCCCTATCCATCGCCTTCCTCCGCCAAGCACGTATTCCCATATTTCTTACGTCTTTATCGATGTTATCACGGAACCTTGTTCTGGATCTTCCCCTTTTTCTCTGACCAATGAGTCTACCAAGGAACGTTTTTCTAGCTGGGTCACTTTGTTCCATCCGCGTTACATGCCGTATCTACCTAGTTAATATATTTTACGATATCTGGTTCCTGGTATATTTTATAAAGTTCGAAGTTGTATCGTCTTCTCAACACTCCTTCATTGTCATTTACTGCTTCATAGATGCGCCTTAGTACTTTTCTTTTGAAATATCCTAACATGTTTTCATTACTTTTTGTTACAGTCCAGACCTCTGAACTATATGTTAGGACTGGGCGTATTCCAGTAACGTTTCCTCCTCCTCAGTCCTAATCCCTTTTGAGATGTGATGACACCATCAGGCCTTCACAGTATTTTTACTATTTCCCTCCATCCTTTTCTGTCCTGGGCTAGTTGTTCGGCTTCGTGTAACCCTTAGTTAATCAATATTTTTGTTTGGTCTACCCAACGGCTTGAAGATCTTTCCCTAGGTCTCTTTCCTTAAACTCTACCCTCGACTATCAGTTTTTCCATCGTGCCTGTTCTTCTAGCAATCTGTCCAAAATACTGCAAATATCTCTGTTGTATTTGTGTAAACAATCTATCCTTTACTTTAAGTTGTTCTAATATCGATACGTTAGTGCGATGATCAATCCAGGATATTCTCAACATGCGGCGGTATACCCACATTTCAAAAGCGTCCAGTTTATTTTTAACCGTTTTCTTTAAGGTCCACGTTTCGGATGCATATGTGGCTATGGGAAAAATAAGGGCCCTTGCCAGCCTTAGTTTTGTGTGTATTATTATGCTAGAATTTTTTCAAATTGCTATAGTTTCATTACGGCTGTTCTAGCAATAGTCAACCTTCTACGTATTTCTCTATCACACCCTCCGTCATTTGTTATTAGGGACCCCAGGTATATGAAAGTATTTACTACTTCAAAGCCCCCAATTTTTTTAATGTGATAAAGATTACTCCGAGCTCTGTCTACTATCATGATCTTTGTCTTACTATTATTTAGCTTTAGTCCATATGTTTTGCTTTTTTCCTCCAAACATCTCAGTATATCTTCCATTTCTTCTTGATTTGCCGCGATTATTAAAGTGTCATCAGCATATCTCAGGTTATTGATTTTTTGACCTCCTAATGATATTCCGCCCTTCCATCCATCTATTACCTTTCGCATAATGTGTTCGCTGTAGACATTAAACAAAGTTGGCGAGATTATGCATCACTGCCTGACAAAAGCCTCTGTTTTGAAATGATCGGAATGGGTGTTGTTTATTTTTACTGTGCACTTATTATTTTCTTTCGTTTAATAATTCGAAAATAATAAGTAACTTTTAGTTTCTCTTAATTTCTTACAGAACTATCAAGTGTACCATCCCTTGCACTACGAGTATACCCCACTTTTCAATTTTCATGACTTGACTAACTAACTCTTGAGGCTACTTCTTGAGTCTGCTTACCTTCTTCTTCTTTAGGTGTCGTGTTAGTATTAAGACGTTGTCCGTCATAATGTTTACAGTTTTGTGGAATCTTTCTCTATCGGCTGCTGCGCGAAATAATTCTTCTACTGTGGCACCACACCATTGTCTAATATTACGCAGCCATGAAAGTTTCTTTCGACCAATCCATATCCTTTCCTCTACTTTTTCTTGTATTATAAGGCGAAGCAGATGATATTTGGGTAGTTTAATTATATGACCGAAGTATTTAGTTTTTTTCCTCTGTATGATGTTTGTAAGCAGGCGTTCAAAATTTATCATTTTAAGAACATCTTCATTGTAAGTGTGAGAAACACATGATATTTTTAGAAGCCGTAGCACCACAATTTGAATGCTTCTAATTTGTTAAGCATCGTAGTTTTTAATATCCATGTTTTACCACCATATAATAGGATAGACTACATATAACATTTTAGGACCTTCTAGCGAATATACAGGGTTACGCAATTGAACTGTTACTAACTTCAAATCTATGTATCTGACAAATCGATAATGACAGCTACGTCAAAGTTGGCCTGATAATACTTCAGCCTGTTTATAAGCCGTCAAAAGTATTTGCATTTAAGTTTTATAGATAAAACAAAAGTTATTCGCAATGGAATTTAAACATAATAGTGTGATTGCGTTATATTTGGCTGGAAAATCACAACCAGCTATTGTTCGTCAGCTCAAACACCCCAAAGTAAATAAAATGTTTGTGTATAGCACCATAACTCGTTATAATGATACTGGTAGCATTGCCAAACGCTATGGTGGTGGACGAAAAAAACAGCAACATCACCTGAAATGGT